GACCTCCCTTTCAGCCAGAGCGACAGGGAAGGGCGACCAGGACCCCGTTCCCCCGACCCAAGGTTCTGCAATCTTTGGTGACATAAATCTCTCAGGATTAAGCTGTTCCCCGCTCTGCAGAAACACGGCCAGCCCCCGCCACCTCACCGGCCACGACTCTTGCACCAGCCCACTGGAGCAAGGGCGCATTGATTTCTCTCCTGCAAAATACCAAGGAGCCCCAAGGGCAGGCTCCTTGGGGCTTTTTCTCCCTCACCATGGGATCCAGGCTCCCCAGAGGCCCAACTCTACCCTCCACCTAGGAGGTCCCCAGGCCCTAGAAGTCATTTCAATAAATCCAACTGTCCTCATCCCAGGCCCAGGGCAGCCTGTGTGTCAAAGATATTTATGAAAGCCCCTTCAGAGGGAGAGTCTCAGGGTCTGAGCCAGCTCTGCCACTCAGGACCGTGGGCACAAGAACCGATGGCTCGGTCCCCTGGGCCTCAAGGTTTCCAACTGCAAAATGGGCACATATCTATGAAACTGAATAACAATGCTGCATTCTCATTTATGGTTCTATACGTACGCAACACAGTAGCTGTTCATGAGATGAAAAAGTGAATAATCAACTGAGAATGCAGCTCTTTCTCAGGGGTGGGGGCACATGGGGACAGGGGACATAACATCTGTCATGTCTATTTCTTCTTGAAACCCCGAGAAGGCACCTGCATAGGAGACAGTGGATTTGATGGGCTAGAAGGCAGGTACCGGCAGGTCCGTTTCGTCTCTCTGCAGTGTTCTGCACATTTGAGTAATTTCAGAAGAAGACATTTGGTAAAAGGAAGTAAGGACACCACCACACCTCCTTGGACCACTGCGGGGGAACGGATGCAGGGTGTCTGGCCCAGGGTCCTGCTCGGCCAGGGCTCATCCTACCCATCCCTGCTACCTGCTGCCCAGTCCCCCGCCTCATGACACCCTGACCAGCTCTGATCCCAGGCCACGGTCTCCATCAAAACTTAACTATCCTCCGGCCCTTCCCAAAGCCCCAGGAGAGCCACCTGATCAGTTAGTTCACCCTCATGAGTGAGTTTATTTTCACTTAAAGTTTCTGTTTTTTAATAATAATAATAGAGACAGGCTCTCACTGTGTTGCCCAAGCGGGTCTCAAACTCCTGGCCTCAAGCAATCCTTCCACCTGAGCCTCTCAAAGTGCTGGGATTACAGGCATGAGCTTCCACGCCCAACCCAGGTTTGTGCTTTTTTCTTTTTGGAGTCTGAGTCTCACTCCGTCACTCAGGCTGGAGTGCAGTAGCATGCTCACGGCCACCCCAGTGTCAACCTGCTGGGCTCCGGTGATCCTTCTGCCTCAAGCTTCCAAGTAGCCAGAGCTACAGGCGCACGCTGCCACGCCCAGTTAGTCTTTTTTTTTTTATTTATTATAGAGACAAGGTCTCGCCAAGTTGCCTGGGCTGGTCTCAAACCCACAGGTTCAGGCAATCCACTCGCCTCAGCCTCCCAAAGTGCTGGGATTACAGGCTGGGCCACTGAGCCTGGCCAGGTTTGTACATCTTAACAACCACCTACTGCAGCTTCAAGATCCTAACCCTAAAGAACTCAGTCACAGTCACAAGCTCGGAAGAGTCCACAACATGCAATATGCAAAGTGATTTTAGGGATACACAAACTTTTAAAAATAATATCCTGCCAACACCCACCCATCTCACACTGTTAGTCGCTGCGTTAGATAAATAATAATAATATCATACATATATAAGAGTATATATGTATGAATAAATAATATATCCATATGCTATATATGTCATATATCATAACAAGAATATTAAATGTATTGGAGACATTTATTTTTGTGTTATCATCTGTTTTGACAAGCAATGCTGGTTTCCCATAAATCATGGCTATAAGGCCGGGCGTGGGGGCTCATGCCTATAATCCCAGCACTTTGGGAGGCCGAGGTGAGGGGATTGTCTGAGCCCACGGGTTCGAGACCAGCCTGGGCAACTTGGCAAAACCTCATCTCTACCATAAATCAAAAAATTAGCTGGGCATGGCGGTGCACGTCTATGGTTCCAGCTACTTGGAAGGCTGAGGCAGAAGGATCATCTGAGCCCAGCAGGTCGAGGCTGCAGTGGCTGTGAGAGTGCCACTGCACCCCAGTCTGGGCAACAGAGTGAGACTCCAACAACAACAAAAAAATCATGGTTATAAAGTTTCCTTATATAACCAGCATGTTTGAGGTGGGGTCAAGGTGGCACACAGCTAGGTCTGAGTAGAGACTGTGCCTACTACCCCTGTGCCTACTACCCCTAGCCACCCAGAGGATGGGGCATCTTTTCCTATTCACAAAGGGACCTCTGCTTGCTAACAATTGTGAGGTTTGACACTGAAGTCTGGAAAACAAAAGGATGGGAGGATGCCCAGCTTCCTTTCTATCTGATAACCTTTGTCTCCCCATCCCCCTCACTCCACAAGGCCCACAATTCTGACCACACCTCACCTGCACCCGTGCCTCTAGGCTGGTCCCAACTCCCTTCTCACTCGCTATGTGACCTCAGGCAAGTGCCCGACCTTTTCTGGACCTGAGTCCACTTGTAAAATCGAAAGGGGGGAACGGAAGATTTCTTGTTGTTGTTGTTTTTTTGAAAGGCAAAGAAAGAAAAGTTTATTTAAAAGTAAATTAGAGAGAGAAAGATTCACCTCCCCAAGGTGGGGGAGGAGACCAAAGCCAGGAAGCATGGCGACAGCCACAGCTCAAAGAGCACATGGCCACACCAGAGTCTAGCAAGACAATGGCCGCTGGTTGCTTGTGGCTGAGTCCTTTTAACCATTCCCCTTGATGGGGGAAGATCATTAAGGTGATTGGGTGGTGGTCTGCAATTCTAATGGGTTCTGAAGGCGCCCCTGGCACCGACAGCCTGGGCTCCCTCTCCCCAACTCTCTCTCCCCCACACATACCCTGCATCTAAACCAACGGCTTCGCCTGGCAGGTCCGCCCACCTAAGACAGTTTGCACCCGTGGCTGATGGATTTATGTCTCCCCCATCAGCCGCGGCCTGATCAACCTGTCCTAACTCACTGGCGGAAGCAGCTGCCTTTGGCCCTTCCACTGGTCCCAGCGTGGTGCCCATAGGAGGGGCTGGGAGTGGAACTGGCCCGAAGGCTCCGGAGCCCATCTCGGCGCACTTGGACCTCAGGAGCACGGGTGCTTGTGGGTGGTGCGACAAGCAGAGCACGGGATGGGGCAGGGGCAGGGGTCCACAGGCCCTCAGGAGCCAGGCCATCCCCCTGCTTTACTAATGGGGCCTGCCTGCAGCTGAGACGTGTCTGTGGTCAGCCAGGAAGCCACAGCGGGGCCCAGAGGAGCATCCAGGCTCCCTGCTGGGGCCGCCACAGCGGGACAGGCAGAGAGCAAGCCCCAGCTACGGCTCCTGGCCTTGAAGGGGGGCAAGGGCTGCATCCCCTCCTTGCCCACTCCATCTGCCCCTCTGTTCAACCTCAGGAAAGGCCCTGGCCCTCCCAGCCCCTGCCCCAGGCAGGTTCCACCCTCACACCCAGGTTCCCCCAACTCCCAGGAGGTTGCATGCCTTCCAGCCCCTCCGCGAGGCACCCCTCCTCCCTGGGCCCCTCTAAGGAGGCCACTGCTCTGCCTCAGCTCTCACCTCACCCCAGGTGGTCGCCAGCATGATGAGCTCTGAGCAGGGTCTGGAAGGCTCCCTTGCAGAAACGGCAACTCCTGCAAACTTTGTCTCCACTGGCAGCCGATGATGAGCAGCGTGACGCAAGCCCCCCATAAACACTCCAGGGTGTAGACATGCATGTCCTCTCCGACTTACAAAAGAGGAAACTGAGACTCAGAGAAGGGAGGTGGCTTTCCGAGGCCAGAAAATGTGCATCTGGGATTTGAAGCCAGGCCAACCTGACCCTGAGGTGTCGCCCATCCGAGGCGACCCAGAGCAGGCACACACAGGTGTCACGAATGTCACGGGGGGCAGCGCCCAGCTTGGCCGGCCCTGGAAAACATGCTAATATCAATATCAGAAGCAGCAGGCTTAGTGGCATCTGCACCACCCTGGGGAGGTGGAGGAGTCGGGACAAGGATCCTCGCCTTCCCTCCCCCGCTCTTCCCCCCACTCCCGGCAGAGCTTCCAGATTTCCAAGGGAAGCCATGGGGACTTCCCTTCAGGGGCCTCTAGAGGCTTGCACCTGAGTAGGGCAGGAATGACCCGACGGGGATGCCCCTTCCCCGTGGCCCACAGCCAGCAAGACCTTGACGCTCTGGGGTGCAGACACCACCCAAGCGCCTCCCTTTCCCTCGCTATAGGACTTGGCCACGGGCCCCCTTGCGAAGGAGCCCCCGTCCTGGGGCCCGTCCCTGCCCAGGCACACCCTCGCCCCCCACCTTGGGCTGGGATATAAATTAAAATTCAATTTCATTAAAGCCAGGGAGCAATCAATCCCTGGCTCCCGCTAACAATGCCGGGCAGGGGGCCCCCGCTTCCCCCGTGGCTGTAATTCACTCGGCCTCCCCCGCTCTTGTGCGCAAACTGCTAGAGCTGCACTTTCCGCCCAAATTTATGGCGCTGGCAGTGTCTGGGGCCTGAGTTACAGCTGCAGGTTTGATCGGGGACTGCATTATTCTGCATCTAATCCTCACGCCTTGACAGCCAGGGAGGAGCCTGTTGTTCTCTCGAACCGGGCATTGTCCTCTGGTTGGCCAGGCTTGGGTGGAGGCCGGGGGTCCTGGGCCCGGGCGGGGCGCTGCCCTCGGAGTACGCAACCCCCGTCCGACGCACACTCTCCCACTTACTCTGGTAAAGGTGGGAGTGCTGGAATCCCATTTCACAGATCGGCAAACTGAGGCACAGAGAGGTCATCTGAGGACCCAGAGATGGACTCTAAGCCTCCGCCCCATAGAAATACTCCCCTGAGGCTCTCTGCTCCTCCTGTTCCAACAGATGGCTGCATCTCTCAGGCAGCACCAGCCTTGTCCTCGAGACACCATGGGGCAGGTGAAGGCTGAAGTGAACAAATTTGGCCATATTGGGTGCAGGGTCAGCGGGGCTGCTTTTAACACTGGCAAAGTGTATGTTGTAGCTGCCAGTGACCCCTTTATCGACCTCAACTACACGGTTTACACGTTCCCGCACGACTCCACCCACGGCAAGTTCCACAGCACTGTCAAGGCTGAGAACGGGAAGCTTGTCCTCAGTGGAAATCCCATCACCATCTTCCAGGAGGGAGATCCCACCAAAAGCAAATGGGGAGACGCTGGCGCTGATTACGTGGTGGAGTCCACTGGTGTCTTCACTACCTAGGAAAAGGTTGGGCTTATTTGCAGGGTAGAGCCAAAAGGGTCATTATCTCCGCCTCCTCTGTTGACACCCCCATGTTTGTGATGACCATGAATCACCTCACATTTGTCAGCAACACCTCCTGCACCACCAACTGCTTCCCCCTCCCCCCCAGCCAAGGTCATCCATGACAACTTTGGCATCATGGAGGGACTCATCGTGGAGTGACCGTCCCACGTCATCACTGCCCCCCAGAAGAATGTGGAGGGCCCCTCTGGGTAGCAGTGTCGTGATGGCCACGAGGCCATCCAGAACATCATCTCTGTGTCCACCAGTGCTGCCAAGGTCATGGGCAAGATCATTCCGGAGCTGGATAAGAAGCTTGTGGGCATGGACTTCCACGTCCCCACCACCAATATGTCCATCGTGGACCTGACCTGCTGTCTAGAGAAACCTGCCAAATATGATGTCATCTAGAAGGTAGTGAAGCAGACATCTGAGGGCTCCCTCAAGACCATCCTGGGCTACACTAAGCACCAGGTTGTATCTTCCTACTTCTTCCACCTTTGATGCTGGGGCTGGCATTGCCCTCAACGACCACTCTATCAAGCTCATCTCTTGGTATGACGATGAATTTGGCTACAGCAGCAGGGGGGTGAACTTCATGGTCCACGTGGAATCCAAGGAGTAAGAGCCCCTGGACCACAAGCCCCAGCAAGAGCATGAGAGGAAGAGAAAAGCCCTCAGTCGCTGGCGAGTCCCTGCCACCCTCTGTCCCTGGCCACATAGAATCTCCCCTCCTCACAGTGTCCATGCCAGACCCCCTGAAAAATGGAGGGGGTGACCTCGGGAGCCCTACCTCTTCACGTACCATCAATAAAGAAGAAAAAGAAAAAGAAATATTCCCCCGAGAGTACACTGATGGTGTCCATGGGTTCCCACTGCAGCATTGTTTATAATAGCCCCAAATCAGACAATAAACAAACAACCGTCAACAGGCCACAGAACAAACAGATGTGAGACTCACGGAATTCTGGGCTTTTAACACCACTGGGCATGGTGGCTCACATCTGTTATCCCAGCAGTTTGGGAGGTGGAGGAGAGAGGATTGCCAGAGCCTAGGGGTTTGAGACCAGCTTGGGTAACTTGGTGAGACCTTATCTCTACAAATTAAAAAAAAAATTATCTGGGCCTGGTCGTATGCACCTATAGTTCCAGCTACTTGGAAGGCTGAGGCAGAAGGATTGCCTGAGCCCAGCAGGTCAAGGCTGCAGTGGCCGTGAGTGTGCCACTGCACTCCAGCCTGGATGACAGAGTGAGACTCTGACTCAAAATAAAAAATAGTAAACAGAAAAAGAATTCTGGGCAGTGGCGTGAGGAAGAAGCAAAGTGTAGACAGTGTGGATGAGGCATGCAGGGCGCACATATGTCTAACAGTACAGGCTTGTGTGTGCACAGAAAAGTCTGGAAATGGAGATTCCACACAGCTACCTCTGGGAACCATAAAGATTTTTTCCAAGACCCATATTTCCTCCCACAGGGCATCTGGCTGCATCTAGAAAGTTCCACGCCCCCATCTGGGTATCAGATGTTTACCTCCAGCCTGGGGGAGGAGACTCAGCTGTCCGGAGTCCCCCATTCCCACCCGTCCTCAGGGTCTGGCCTGCCAGACGCCGGGCGCCTCCCACGAGGGCTGGGGCGACCTCTGACCTCCTTGGAGGCCTTGGGGGAGGGGTGCAGGGCCGTGGGAAGCTGGGATTGACCAGCACAGGAAGGAGGGGAGGCTGGGAGAAGTGCATCTTTCGCCCTCCCCCTGAGTCGCTGTGTATCCTGTGTTACCGTCTCCGGCTCCGGGCGGGCCACCACTGCTGCCCGCACCTCCATGAGCTGGGCTGATGCTCCTGCAGCCTGAGGGAGCTCCCGGGACCTGGACAGAGCCCTGTAGTGATGGATGAAAGGCGGTTCCCTCCCATTTAGCATTTTCTTTTCTGAACACTAATATCTAAGCTGCTTTTGTACCCCAAGGGCTACTGCAATTTTCAGATGCTACCCCTGCCTGCCAGGGACTTGCAGACTCGGAATAAGAGCAGAACCACCGTGCCTGGGAGAGTCAGAGGGGGCCTGGGGCAAACTCGTGCCCGCCTGGGCAGCATCCTAGCTCGGGAGCCCAAGGAAGAGCCCTGCCTGGCATCCTGCTTGTGCCACCAGGGCCGCCACCCACCCTTCCCCCAGTTCAGGACAATACCACCTCCCACTGGACATAGCCAGGTCTCTTCCTGTCCTCTCAGTCTACCTCCAAGCCACTCTCCTCCCTGTACCCAGAGGCACTCTCCAGGGCTCCGGGCCGCCCTCTGACAGACCTGTCCTCTAAGTAGCCTGGTTGCCAATGCTCTACACAGCCTGGTCTCAGCTTCCTGCACCAGCTTGATCACCTCACCCCAGCACACATTCACACAAACACACGCACACACGCACACGTGCACACTCAGACACACTTATGTATACATTTACACATACTACGTGTGCTGCACACGTGCACATAGCCACACATGTCCACACACAAGTACACATTCACACACAGACGGACTCACATGTGCATGCAAACATGCACATGTGCAAACATACTCGAGTCACGCACAGATGCACATGGGCGTGCACACACGCCCACACTCTAGCCACCGCGACCCCTTGACCCGTCTCCTGTCTGGCTGACTCCTACTCCTTTCAAACTCTGCCATGGTGGAGGCTGCCCATGCCCACCTAACCGGGTCCCTCTCCTGGACACACAGGGGCTTACACGTTCTGCGCTTTGACGTGGCCAGTTGCTACCACCAGACTGCCACTTTCCAGACCCAGCCTGGAAAGGAACACGTGGGACCCTCCAGGGTTGGCTAGCCCTTCACAGACCAGCACACGCTAAGACGGGTCACCGGAGGTCAAAGGACAACCGCCCTGCAGATTGGCGGGAACCCACAGCCAACCTGTGTGACTGAGAAATGCAGCTTTTGGGTTCTAAGCCACTGAGATTTGAGAATAGTTGCTACCACGACATAACCATGGGGGTATTTCCTCCTGGAAGCATGCCTGGATTACTATCCCTCCCACCTCCGCCACAAAACCCCCGCACTTTCTCCATGAACACCCACCTCACAGGTCAAGCATGCATCTGCACCCCAAGCCCCATAAACTCAGGGAGGGCAGGGGCTGCCTCTCAGAGCAGGGGCTCAGTAAGTGATGGGTGAATGGACACAGAAGAGTTGGAAACAGAGTCGGAGGTTGGACGACGGTGGCATCAGAGAGGAGAGGCAGTGAGGCGGGCGTTCCAGGGGGAGGCATCCACGGGCAGAGGCAAGGGGCAGAAGGAAACCCAGGAGGCCAGTGCTGGGGCCCGCCTGGCTGAGGAGAGGGCAAGAGATAGGCCTGGGAGATTCAGGCAAACGTGCCCTCATGAGTGGTACCGAGCACTCATGGAAGGGGACCCGCCCGCTTGGCCCTGCACCCAGATAATCCCGAGACCTGATCCTCAGCCTGGAAGCTCAGAGCCCAGTGACCTCACCAACGGGGCACAGGCCAAGGCCAGGCGGGGCGTAGACCAAGCGTGGCTCCTCAGGCTGCCAGCAATCTCACACTCTCCCACTCAGCCAGGCACGACGAGGTGACATCCTTCCCGGCCCTGTGTGCTCCTTGGGGCGGGGGGTGACCCCTCGAGGGGCCCGGCTCTTCCTTGCTCGCTCACTCGGCTTCTTTGTGAGTTGAAATGTATTTTTTTTCTCTTTCCTAATTAACTCCCTGCCATCCTACTTGCAGTAAAGCCTGATTTATTCCTGCCTCTCTGCATTCGGGGGACGGGCTATTTAATCTCCGCCGCGTGGACTCCAACCCACTGTCTCAATGAAATGCAGATCTCTCATCCTGTTAGTGTCCTGCCAGCTCTCGTCCGTCTTCCTGCTGTCCACAGACTGGGCCGGCAGGGTCGCTGCGCCATAAATCACACGGGCTTCTTTTGCCACAACACCTTTGCCCTCTGCGCACACCTGTCAGCGCGGCTTGGGACGGGGCCCAGCTGAGGTCGGCTGCTCACTTCTGTGAGCAAATGGGGCCTCAGACGGGACCCAGCAGGCGAATCCAGAGGGAAGCCAGAGGTGCATAGATCCCGCCCCCCGGGTCTGAGCCCTTGGTGCACTGCTCATGTCCCCTCCCCACCACACCCAGAGGTCACCTGCAGGCAGGCCCCACATGAGGCTTTTGGGGTGTCCTTGCACTGGTACACCCTCAGCCTATTTGCAGGGTAGGCCAGACACCAAGAATGGGCAGGAACAGTATGGTGAGCTGATCAGTGGGGGAAAAAAGCCTGATATATAACATCCATCAATTTTGGTGTCTAAATCCCTCCACCGTGGTGGGGGCGCCGGGCCAGCAGTGTGATGCCGCTGAAAGCTGGGAAGAAAAGTACATGGCTCTAGCCCTCCCCCCCCCGCCTTGCCACTCGTGGAGACAGTTCTGAGGCACATTCCACGTGGTCACTTGGAGGACTGCCAGCAAGCCTGAGCCCCAGGTATCCACAACTATCACCCCCCCCTGTTGTGGGTTGCATTGCATTTTCCAAGAAGATATGCGCATGCCCTAACTCCCTGGGAACTGGGAACGTGGCCTTATTTGGAAATAGGGTCTTCGTGGATTTAATTAGCTAAGATGAGGTCACACTGGAGTAGGGAGGGTCATGATCCAATGACCTGTGTCCTCATAAGAAGAAGATTTGGACGCAGACACACACCATGTGAAGATGCAGAGGCACGCTCATACGTGGAGAAGACGCCATGTGATAAGATGGGAGTGACGCATCTGCAAGTCAGGGAACGCAGAGGATGCCAGAAGCAGGAAGAGACAGGACAGATCCTCCCCTCAAGCCTTCAGAGGGAGCAGGGCCCTGATGACACCTTGGTCTGGGGCTTCTAGCCTCTAGGACAGTGAGAAAATAAGCTTCCTTGTTTTCAGCCACCCGGTTTGGATTTGTTACAGCAGCAAAAGGAAGCTCATCCACCCTCCACATCACCCCCTCAGTCGCCCTGTCTCAGTTCCCGTGTCTTTATGGTGTTCCTAGGGGGTTACCTCCCAAATAAACAACCTGCACCCCGCGTCCTTGCCCGAGTCGAGGAGCACACCGAATTCAGAGCCGGCCAGTCCTGCCCCAGGTGCCAACCTCACCATGTCCAGATGCAGCACCCAGGACAAGGGTCCCAGCACAGCCTTACCCTCCGTCTGCAAGATGAACAGCAATGACATCAGCATGAAAAGGTCGTTTGTAAATGAGACGTGGTCCCTCGAGGCCTAAGCAGAGATGGGAGTTGTGGCAACAGCCTGTCTGGGATCTCATCACCTAAGGATAAGACTTCACTTCAACGCTCCCCTTTTCCTATGAGCCTCTAAGTCCCTAAAGTTGACTCTAGGGACTCAGGGTGCCTCCCAGATGTCCTCCCACCATAATCACTGACCTGCCCTTGACCTCAAATGGTGCAGTTTCGCGTGGGGTCCTCCCACAGCAGGGAGGTTCGACCCGTCTTTTCCTGTAGAGCTGCCCTTCCTTGGGAGGAAGGATGAAGACCACTCATCTCCACAGAGGGCAAGACAGGCAAGGTGGGCAACACTTAGTTCAGCCTCCCACCATAATCAACCGCTGCTCTGTGCTTCTTCCCAAGTTTTCCCATAATTCCCAACTCTTCTCCTAATTGTGGTTTACTTTTCCTCAAGGGACCCTTTGCTCCTCCTCACAGGGGGGCTTCCATTGCCTTCACCCCCCACCCCTATCAATCAGACACACCCGCACACATTTCAAG